AATGAGATTGGCAAGTAATGAAGAACATTGTGAACGTATAGAGAGAATTTTATGAAATTTATTGTTGTTTCCCTGCTTCGGTTTCTATGAAGACATTTAGGGTTTTGTTTCGTTCAAAATTTAGGGGTTTTGGGAAAAGTTTTTTTGAAAAAAAGTTAAAAAAAATTGAATTAGGCGGGTATTACGATGTACGATTTATAAATTAATAAAATGTCCCCTATGTTTGTTTTTTTACAAAATACTCCCCATAATAAAACATTAAAAGTTAACAAAAACACCCTCAAATACCCCCAGCTGGCCACCACCACCGGAGGTGGCCGGAGTTGCCTTATCGGCGTATGACCGGCTAGATCTTGTCGGTCATGCGTCGATATGGCCTTTTCCAGCCAGATCCACGGTGGATCTGGCCGGCTACGGCCAGATCTACGGCCAGATCTGGCCGTCTGGCCGTATTTGCTCTCAACGACGGCCAACAAACGGTCGTCTGTTGATGGTCAACGACGACCGTTTGTTGGCCGTCGTGACCGACTGTTATGGGCAAAGATCTGGCCGTCAACGGCCAGATCTTTGGCCTTAGATCTAGCCTTTTCCGGCCAGATCTACCATGAATCTGGCCAGAAAAGGCTAGATCGGCGCACTACCGGTCAGATTCAGCCAGTAGTGCGCCATCCTACCAGATTCCGGCCATTTTCCGACGATGATGACCAGAATCTGGTAAATATGGATTGTTGGGGGTGTTTTTGTAATTTTTAAAAAAATGTTTAGGGGTATTTAATTAAATTAACAAATTTAGAGAGTTTTAAAAAAATTAAATAATATTGAAAGTAGTATTCCCAAAAATGAGGACTTCGTTTGTTTCAGTTTTGGGAATACTACTTTTAGTATTCCCAAAAAAGTTAAACAGTAAAATACCCAAAAAACTCAGATTTTTGGGAATACTACTCCCAATATTATTCAACTTTTTTTAAACCTCTTAAATTTGATAATTTAATTAAATACCCCTAAATATTTTTTTAAAAATTACAAAAATACCCCAGTAATCCATGTTTACCAGATTCCGGCCATCATTGTCGGAAAATGGCCGGAATCTATTAGGATGGCACACTACCGGCTGAATCTAGCCGGTAGTGAGCCGATCTAGCCATAGATCTAGCCTTTGCCGGTCAGATCCACCATGGATCTGGCCGGAAAGGCCATATCGGTCACGACCGGCAAGATCTAGCCGGTCATGCGTCGATACGGTGACTCCGGCCACCCTCCGGCGGTGGTGGTCGGCTGTCCGTATTTGAGGGTTGGTTGGGAGTGTTTTTGTTAACTTTTAATGTTTTATTATAGGGGTGTTTTTACAAATAAATAAACATAGAGAGTATTTTATTAATTTATAATTCTTACATCGTAATACTTGCCCAATTTAACTTTTTTTTTAACTTTTTTCAAAAAACTTTTCCCAAAAACTCAAAATTTTGAACCAAACGGAGCCGAGGGCTTCGTTTGGTTCAAGATTGGGAATACTAAGAGTAGTATTCCCAAAAAAGTTAAACAGTAAAATACCCAAAAACTTTCGGCTTTGTTTGGTTCACAATTGGGTGTTTTAGGAAAAGTTTTCTGAAAAAAGTTAAAAAAAAGTTGAATTGGACGGGTATTATGATGTAAGATTTATAAATTAATAAAATACCCCCTATATTTATTTATTTACAAAACAACCCCTATAATAAAATCTTAAAAGTTAACAAAAACACCCCTAACCCAATGTCAAATACGGACAGCCGGCCACCACTGCCGGAGGGTGGCCGGGTTCACCGTATTGGTGCATGACCGGCTGTATCTTGTCGGTCGTGCGCCAATATGGCCTTTGCCGTGGATCTGGCCGACAAAGGCCAGATCTACGGCCAGATCTGGCCGTATTTGCTCGTCAACGACGACCAATAAACGGTCGTCGTTGATGGTCAACGACGACCGTTCGTTGGCCGTCGTTATAAACTGTTACGACCAAAGATCTGGCCGTCAACGGCCAGATCTTTAGCCTTAGATCTGGCCTTTTCCAGCCAGATCCACCGTGGATCTGACCGGAAAAGGCTAGATCGGCGCACTACAGACCAGATTCAGCCGGTAGTGTGCCATTCTAATAGATTCCGGCCATTTTCCGGCAGTGGTGGCCGGAATCTGGTAAATATAAATTACTGGGGTGTTTTTGTAATTTTAAAAAAAATATTTAGGGGTATTTAATTAAATTATCAAATTTAAGGGGTTTAAAAAAAGTTTAATAATATTGAGAGTAGTATTCCCAAAAATTAAAGTTTTTTGGTATTTTACTGTTTAACTTTTTTGGGAATACTAAAAGTAGTATTCTGAACATTGAAACAAACGAAGCCCTCATTTTTGGGAATACTATTTTCAATATTATTCAATTGTTTTTAAACCCTCTAAATTTGTTAATTTAATTAAATACTCCTAAATTTTTTTTTTTTAAATTACAAAAACACCCCAACAATCCACATTTACTAGATTCCGGCCACCACTGTCGGAAAATGGCCGGAATCTGGTAGGATGGCGCACTACCGGCTGAATCTGGTCGGTAGTACGTCGATCTAGCCTTTTTCGGCCAGATCCACGGTGGATCTGGCCGAAAAAGGCTAGATCTAAGGCCAAAGATCAGGCCGTTGACTGCGAGATCTTTGGCTGTAACAGTCTGTCACGACGGCCAACAAACGGTCTTCGTTGACCGTCAACGACGACCGTTTGTTGGCCGTCGTTGAGAGCAAATACGGCCAGATCTGCCCGTAGATCTGGCCTTTGCCGGCCAGATCCACACTGGATCTGGCCGAAAAAGGTCATATCGGCGCATGACCGGCAAGATCCAGCCAGTCATGCACTGATAAGGCTACTCTGGCCAACTCCGGTGGTGGTGGCCGGCTGGGGGTGTTTGAGGGTGGGTTAGGGGTGTTTTTGTTAACTTTTAATGTTTTATTATAGGGGGTATTTTGTAAAAAAACAAACGTAAAGGGCATTTTATTAATTTATAAATCCTATATCGTAATATCCGCCCAATTCAACTTTTTTTTAACTTTTTTCAAAAAACTTTTCCCAAACCCCCCAAATTTTGGACCAAACGAAGCTGAGAGTTTTTGGGTATTTTACTGTTTAACTTTTTTGGGAATACTAAAAGTAGTGGCTTCGTTTGGTTCATAATTGGGTGTTTTTGGTAAAAGTTCTTTGAAAAAAGTTAAAAAAAGTTGAATTGGACAGGTATTACGATGTAGGATTTATAAATTATTAAAATACCTTCTATGTTTGTTTATTTACAAAACACTCCCTATAATAAAACATTAAAAGTTAACAAAAACACTCCCAACCCAATCTCAAATACGGACAGTCGGCCACCACCATTGGAGGGTGGCTGGATTCGTCGTATTGGCGCATGACCGACTGGATCTTGGCGGTCGTGCACCGATATGGCCTTTTGCCGTATTTGCTCGTCAACGACGGCCAAAGATCTGGCCGTCAACGGCCAGATCTTTGGCCTTAGATCTGGCCTTTTCCGGCAGATCGGCGCACTACTGGCCAGATTCAGCCAGTAGTGTGCCATCCTAACAGATTCCAGCCATTTTTCGGTAGGGATGGTCAGAATCTGGTAAATGTGGATTATTGGGGTGTTTTTATAATTTTTTAAAAAAATATTTAGGGGTATTTAATTAAATTATTAAATTTAAAGGGTTTAAAAAAAGTTGAATAATATTCAGAGTAGTATTCCCAAAAATAAGAGTTTTTGGGTATTTTACTGTTTAACTTTTTTGGAAATACTAAAAGTAGTATTTCCAATTGAGAACTAAACGAAAGCCAATATTTCTAATTTTGAACCAAACGAAGCCTCGGTTATTTATAAGTGTTGTTGATATTAAAACAGATGATAAGAAGCTGTACATTTTGAGAAGCCACCTGATACAATAAGGTTCTGTATTATTTCTTACTGATGCTTGATCCAAAGACGGACAATTGTTGCCAAACCTTCCAAAAGGAGGATTGGTGGTTTTCTGGAGTTGATGAGATGGTTTTTCTTTTAATTTTTAATTTTTTTTACTGGCAAATCACTCCTCAAAACTGACGGAAGTTAAAAAGAATCTGTTGGCTGACACAAAATCTTGACGAAGAGACCAAAGTGCCCATAATAATCTTCTCTTAAATAATATTTAAGTTAAAAATATTAATAAAGAAATAAAAATAGTTAAATCTAGAAAATTAAAAAGAATAACTTTACATATATGATATATCTATACATACAAAATCCCACCCACATTTGACTAAAATCTTATGCAAAGTTGATCAGAGAATAAGTACCAAGTAATAAACCCAATCTTTAGCTTGCATAAGTTGATTTTGACAGTGACACAGCCAGAATTTTGATTTAATGATGGCAAATTAAAAGAAAATTTTGAAATATTAAACAAATAAAGATTAAAAATACGAGAAGTTTACCACAAAATTAAAATTTGAGGTCTAATTAATGCTTTTATTTTGAATAAACGAAGAATTTAGTCATAACATTATATATATATATATATATATATTTTGAGCTTTAACTTCTTTCATAGGAGAAAGGGGGCTTTGTTATAAATACAAAGTAGGAGGGGATTTGTATAATCTTCCAATGTCAGTGGGGCATGAGCCCCCAATCAGCCCCTAGTGGTCCGTCCCGGATTCCAGTTGTGTAGTGTAAACGGAAGAAGAAAGAAGAAAGGGATTCAATTTATAGCCAAAGGTGTCGGTCAAAAGATTATTTAAGCCTTCTCTAATCCCCTAAGCTTTCCCTTTTGATTAAACAAATTTCCAGACACTTTATCAATAATGATTGGCCCCACACCAGTTAAAGACAGAGCGCCTTCTTATGGGCCCCATTCTCTGGAGCTTCAAGCTGGCTCTCGCACTACTCGGTACTCACTCACTCACTGCTGACTGTTCCCACTTTCAAACCCATCTTCTGTTCTGTATTAACAGTTTAACACTCTCGCTAAAGATAAGATATTGAGTTCTAAGAGAGAGAGAAGGGAGGGGATCCAATGCCTGGAGGTGCACTGTGTTGTTGTGTTCCTTTCTTCTTCTTTCTACTTGTCGGGTGGTTCCCAAATTTTTGTTTGGGAGGTGACCCTTACGCGTTCTTTGAATGGACTGTCTCTTACATCACGGCTTCTCCCCTTGGAAGTAAACAACAGGTGCTTTTATTTCTTTTCAGATTTTCAATTATTCATTTTTATTTGATAGTTCATTGTCAATTTAATGAATTATTTTACTAAAGTAACTTAAATAATTGTTAAAGAACAGAACTTGTTAAAGGATATATTAATATTGCATGAATATATGAAAACTTTTGACACTTTTTAATCAAAATATTTGCCTATACAACCCAGTTTAGGATTTTGACTTGTGGGTCAGCTAAATATTGCTCATCCATGTCGAGTGATAATTTCAATTGCTAAGATAATGGGAGGTGCTGACACTTTTTTATTTTTTATTTTTCAAATTGTTTCAATATTGTTTTTTTCCAGGTAATAGGGATTAATGGGCAGTTTCCAGGGCCAATTCTCAACGTCACTACCAATTGGAATGTTGATATTAATGTTAAGAATGATCTTGATGAGCCATTGCTTCTCACTTGGTATAATATGTTGTTATCGTTAGAAATAGCTGGTAAAGATGGCATTATTGTTGATATTATTTCACTTCAAATGTAGGAATGGCTTACAGCATAGGAAGAATTCTTGGCAAGATGGTGTTTCAGGGACAAATTGTCCAATTCCTGCTGGTTGGAACTGGACATATCAGTTTCAGGTCAAAGATCAAATAGGAAGTTTTTTTTACTTCCCTTCCCAAAACTATCAGAGGGCTGCAGGTGGATATGGGGGAATCATCATTAACAACAGAGATGTTATTCCGTTACCCTTTTTGATGCCTGATGGTGATATTATACTCTTTATTGGTGACTGGTATACAAAGAGTCATAAGGTCAGTAAAATGTTTGTATGGCTTGCTGTTTTTGGTGTATATTAGCCATTTTTGTTATCTTCAGGAGTAGTAACCAATGCTAATTGGTAAACAGAAGCAAAGGAAAGACGTTGAGAATAATAAAGACCTTGGAGTTCCTGATGGTATCCTCATTAATGGATTTGGTCCCTATCGCTATGATGCAGCAGTTGTTCCAGAGGGCATTGCTTACCAGACAATAAATGTTGAACCAGGTAAGTTTGTGTATGTGATGCTTGAATTTCTGCTGTTGGAGCAAAACCTTGCTTAAAGTAATTAACTAAAGCAATCTTTTAAACTTGGGTTTTTCGCTGTCCCAAGTGGATTGAGTGAAACCGCTGTGGGTTTTATAGCCTCTAAGATATAGCAGTCTAAATGCTTTAATATATGATGTGCCATACAGGATATGGTGGCCTTCTCTCATAGAGTGACAGACAGTCAAGAGTTAAATCCTCTCATTTTATTATTGGCCAGTGAAACATCCAAGTGCAGCTGTGTGGTTTGCTAATTGCGGGCTTAGATGCTCATTAGATTATAAGCATTCTATTTTTTATCTTAGTATTATTCGAAAAAGGTTACATTTTTTTGTTAGGGAAGTTTTCTCTTTAATTTTTTATTTTATTTTTATTTTTCCTTTTTTGGAGGAAAGGGTAGGGAGGGAGGGTCAGGTGATGGTGTGTCCTAAATTTCATGGAACAATTTCTTTCTAGTTAGTTACATCTATGGCAATATGACTCCAATTCTCAGTTTCTTCTTTGGGGAGTTACACTTAACAAGCTATTAGTGATTTTTCTCTCAAGAGTCAATGGTACTTCTAATTGTGGTCAAAATTTTCTAAACATTATATCTTTTGCAATTTCATTATGTGCTTTCAATGATAGCTAAGTATTTCATATGTTATTTGAAACAGGAAAAACGTACCGCCTCCGGGTTCACAATGTTGGAACCTCAACCAGCTTAAATTTCAGGATACAAAATCATAACTTAGTACTTGTTGAGACTGAAGGATCATACACAGTTCAACAAAACTACACAAATATGGATATTCATGTTGGTCAATCGTACTCATTTTTGGTTACGATGGATCAAAATGCCAGCAGCGATTACTACATCGTTGCCAGTCCTCGGTTTGTTAATTCGTCTGATTGGGACAAAGCTAAGGGAGTGGCTATCTTGCACTACTCAAACTCTCTGGGACCTGCTTCAGGTCCTCTTCCTGATCCTCCTACTGTACTCGACACGTATTTCTCAATGAATCAAGCTCGATCCATAAGGTTGTAGTTTAAGCATATCCTTTTTCTGGATTGACATAGATATATCCTGAAATATGCTGTTGACCTTTACAAGAAGGTGTTTTCTTCAAAAAACCCTCTGTCTGAATATTTCAGCTGCTTGAAAATTGATGAACATTTAGACACGGAGAAATATCCCTGGAATGTATATCCACTATTTTTTTTTTAAAATTAAAATATGCTTAAAATTTTTAAATTTTTGCTTATATTCTTTATGGTTCTTTTGATTCTAGTAGATTTGTGCTGACTATTTTAATATCTTTGGCCTGGTGGTGATTTATAGGTGGAATGTCTCTGCTAGTGCTGCTCGTCCCAATCCACAGGGATCTTTCAAGTATGGTGAGATTACCGTGACAGAAGTATATGTAATTCTCAATAGACCTGCTGAGCTTATAGATGGGAAGTGGCGTACGACCCTCAACGGTATTTCATACTTGCCACCTTCAACACCCCTAAAGCTTGCTCAGCAATTCAACATTTCAGGGGTCTACAAGCTTGATTTCCCGTACAGATTGATGAACAGACCTGCGAAACTTGATACTTCTGTTATTAATGGTTCTTTCAAAGCTTTCATGGAGATCATCTTTCAGAATAATGATACCAATGTACAGAGCTACCATATGGATGGCTATGCATTCTTTGTTGTGGGGTAAGCTTTTGGTTTTGATATTGTTTCCTTTCTTTGTTCCTAATTTGTGGATGAAAACTGGTATTATAAATTTAAAATTTTCCTATTTGAACTGTAGTATGGATTTTGGAGTGTGGACAGAAAATAGCAGAGGCACATACAACAAATGGGATGGTGTTGCACGCAGCACTACACAGGTAATCTTCTGTTATAGTCTTTGTCCCCATGGAGTCGATTGTTGAATTGCATTTAAGCTTTTACATATGTGCCTTTATTAACCTCCAAAAGGTATAAATTAAAATTCGGCCCTCTAGAACCTGTTCATTTACATTAATCCGTGAACATGATCTGCAATTTCCTAGATGGTGAAAGTGGTACGGTTTAATAGATTTGAAGGAGGCAAGTTCAAAGCTGCTGGTGGTGTGCCATCAGTCACTGACTTTTTCGGCGAAGTTCCGTTGTTGTTCGACCTTGTGGTGGCGGTCGATAATTTTTACACTCTGAAAGTGGTACGGTTCAATTGATAGGAAGGTGGCGAGTTCCAAACTTGTGTCAATGTAATATCTAGGGGTGGGCAAAAAATAGGGTAGAACTGAAACCGACCCTCACAGGATCTGTTTTGGTTCTAAAAAATTGGAACCAGTACTGTGTGGTTCCGGTTCTGGTTCCACCACTGGAGGAACCGGAATTCGAACTGGGAACCGGAATCGAGACCTGGGTACTAGGGTAAGAATCGGGACTGAACTGTAATTTTTGTAAAGTTTTGGGGTGTATTTTAGTTTTGGGGTGTATTTTAATTTTTGGTGGGTGTATTTGTAATTTTTGTGAATAGTAGGGGCTAATAGTTTTCCCGAATACCTGGAACCGAAACCAGAACCTGTGTTTCAGGTTCAGGTTCCAAGCTTTTAGGAACCGGAACTGACTGGTTCTGGTTTTGGGTCCAAATCCTAAGAACCGGTCGATTCCGGTTCCGGTTCTAGGGGATTTGGGCAGGTACCCGGACCCACCCACCGCTAGTAATTTTACTCGCTGCCATTTTCCAATGAAGTTTTCACATAATGTCAACTTCTAAGAGGTGTGTTGGCCATTTTCCGGGCACTATTGTCACTGACAATTGCATTGGTTGACTGTGCAGCGTGTGGTCATCAATTTGTAATCGCAGTGTGATGAATGGTGGAAGAGGCAACAGTGATGATGGTGGCTGTGTGTCATGAGTTACATTATGGCTTAAGATTTCTGATTTAGCCCTTTAGCCCTGGTCAATAAAGAACTACTAGGGAAAGTATTTGACAATTTTTGAAATGTAAGGAGAGGCGAGGGATAATAGCCTTAATTTGAATTAATCTTTTTTCAATATTTTCAATATTCTTCCAAAACGAATTCACAAACGAATAACCTGTTTTATTTGAATTCTGAAAATTAGCTCCAAATACCTTTGTGATTTTCTGTATTTCAGTCTCAACCTTAGTATCAATGTCATCTCTGTTGCTACAAATAGTCCTTTACTACCAGGGTTTTATTTATACTTTAATGCATTTTGTGGAGAGGATTTATTAGTGTTTATTTAAGTAGTTGCAAAGACAACTACTACTTTTTTTCATTTTAGTTTATATTCTTTGCTGTATGTTTATGGAATCATTAGTTATAACTTCTTATTCATCACATGATTGCAGGTCTTTCCCGGAGCTTGGACAGCTATTTTAGTTTATCTTGACAACCCCGGGATATGGAACCTCCGTACTGAGAATCTCAACTCATGGTATTTGGGCCAAGAAGTTTATATGAATGTTGTAAATCCCGAGATTGACAAATCTGAGCCTCTATTGCCTGACAACGCCATATATTGTGGTCTGCTTTCACCCTTACAGAAGTAAGTTGTTAGAAACACAACTACTTTCTCATTTAAGTCAATTTACTATGTTCCTTGCATGGAAAGTTAACTCTAAAAATATTTTTTCAGATTGAATTTGCTTCGAAATTGATCTAGATTGAAAATTGATCATTGGACATTCTTTTATTGTTAGGGAGATCTTACGGATGTCTTTTAAAGATATATATCATTTGCACAAAAAATTTTGGTGAAAGCCATACAAATGTTTGTATTTTGTTTGAAGCTATACAGTTGTGTGCCAATTTAGTTCCCTTATTCTAAACTCCTTTGCTAACTTTTATGGACTATTACTTACTTTTGCAGAGACCAAGCTCAAAGAGTTAAGTTTTCGAGCGCACCATCGATTTCCAGCGCAGATAGAACAGTTTTACTTGCATTTGTCATAGCCCTCTTTAGTTATTTTACGATGTAACAGAGTTTTGCATCACCTATTAGTGAGCAGTATGATCATATTCTTTAAACCTGGAATATACTTGGGCCGTTCAAGGAATTCAATTTGTTTCCACAGTGCAGGAATCCATTTACTGAAGGTAGTGTACAATTTTGTTGGATAAAAGCCTTGTACCATCGCACTTACAGCATGTATCATTAACAATATAAATTTTTGAAGTAATTGCATATAAATGTTGAATGCGTTGGGACATAGAATTTGTGACATTTCCTTGGGCCTGTAGATTAATTTAGTTTATACCCAATTGAGATGGTGGACTTGGCAATGTAATCAATTTATATTTTTGTTGCTGAAAAACTATCGATATGGTACTTGTGGTGCTGTGTTTGTTCTGTCTGTGTGCAGATTTTCTTGTATGTGCTAGGAAATGGATCATCATTTTGACATGTGTATGACTTAGTTTTCTTTTCTTGTAGCACCCACAGGACATATCGGTTATTAGTTCAACAAGTATAATACTTTCTGTACGTTTGTTTCGAAAGCATAAAAGATAACACCGATAATCTATCTTATTTTTCGACGATCACTACGTTTGGATGTTAAGTAATGAAAGATTACGGTAAACTTTTAATGCCAATAAGGGTTGTTATAGGTAAAAGCGGGGGTAATTCGATTATCGTCTGGAAGAGTGTTATTTTTTCATTATCAGGGTAATCAATTGTTCATACCAATTTTACCCTTAATTAATAAGCATTTTGGACACAAATGTTCTCGTATGTTTGCTAAATAACAATAGTCGAAATATGCAAAATGACTTCTTTAATCTCGTATATTAATTTTTTGGACTAAAATACCTTAACTATTTACATGGAAAATACCCTTAGCCACCCAAGACAATTGTCGGCCACCATCGTTAGCAGTCATCAAAACAGCGCGTGACTGGTCAGATCTTGTCGGTTGTGCGTTAATCTAATCGTTTTCGACCAAATCGAACGCCAAAAAGGCCAAAACCGTGAATCTAGCAGGAAACCAAATCCACGACCGTTAACGACCAAAGATTTGGTCGTTAATGGCCAGAATGGATATGGCTTTCCTACCATATCCATAGCCATTTGGTCGTTTCCAACCTTCAATCTAATTGAAAACGGCCAGATTGGCACACCATTGGCCAAATCTAATTGGTCATGCATTGTTTCGGCGGCTGATGGTGATGGTTGGCAGTCGTCTTGGATGGTTAGGTATATTTTGTTAAATTTTAAACTTTTGTTGTTGGGGTGTTTTAGCTAAATTCTCAAATATAAGGGGTTAAAATGTTCTAAATAATAATAATATTAACAAGGATAAACAACTCTCTGATAATATTTTATTCCTCTTAACCAAACATATTAATTATTTATCACCAATCTAACAAAATATATTAGTATAACATTCTTCCATTAATCTTCGAGGTAGTCTATCTCATGGTAATCTTATATTTTCAATGATAAAAAATCCCCCAAAACAGTCGCTACATTTGAAGAATGTTTTCTTAACTTAGAAATATCTAGCAACAGGGGATAAGTTTGAATAAGTTTCATGTTAGCGTGTTAGTTTAAGTGTCCGTTTGATTCTGTTTCAAGCCATCTTAGTTATCCTATAGATTGTTGTCAATTGTGATCAATCACATTCTGGGTTCTGTCTATGTAAAGATTAGAAAAGATTGTTGGTAGTTATGAGGTTCAAACGTCCTGAATAAGGTATGAAAGTCAGCCCATTGGATAAATAGATTGATTAAGACAAAAAAACTGTATACTTACTATCACTTTTGTTCAGTTGGATTGAATAGCAAATTTGAATTGGATACTTATTGCAGCTTAGCTTAAACGCCAAAGCTGTTTTAGATGGAAATGTGGTAAAGACATAAAGTTACCACTTTTTAATGGTGGGACTGGGAGGTGCAACATAAACCAAGTAACTTAAAAGGTTACTCACTTATATAATAATAGATTTCAATAAATGTGGGTTAGAAGAAAGCCTTTGTATGTATGTGGGCAAAGCATTTTGGTTTGAACTAGTACAAATTTGTAGTTTTTGGCAACAGAAAAAAAAAACGTTTCTCTTTTATGGTGACAAAAGGTTATCATCCTTTTTATCAAGAATTTAAATATAATATACATGCTTCTTTACATAACAAATGTATACAAGTTTTTCTCATCAAACATGAACAAAAAACATATTTTAAAGATAAGGAAACTTAGGATAAGGAATGTAGTACCAAAAACTCATCCTAAATTCAATTAAAGAAAAAGAATCATTGTACATTATATAACATAACATAACAAAACTAAACTAAATACATTAATATATCGGTACTGACATCGTTCTAAAACATTTTATATATCACATTAACTTTTAAGTTCAAGACTTGATATTTATGTTGTTGTTACCACTTTTATTTTTTTATTTTATTTTTTTATAACTGGAGTGTCTGGTCAAGTATTTATCATTATATTAACCCAATCCAAATAGTAACATTACCCTAGTACCTTAGTATGACTCATCTCAACAGTCAAATATCTTACAAAAATATATAAAGATGTAATGGTAACATTATATGTACACAGTACACTATAATATGATTTATTTATTATTTTTTTTTTTAATCTTTAGGTTATTGCAGGGTAGGCTGACCAACACTTTGGTATCTAAAAATGAGCACTTTAATCCTTGTAAAATCAGAAAGTAACACATTTATGATTTAACTGTCTTGTGCAGGGATCAGAGTGGTAGTTTTTTATTCTAATGGACTGATGGGATTCTCTTAAAACATTGGGAGCCTACAAATTATGTTTATCCGTTTTGCAGCCTTTTTGTAGGATCCTGGTGTTGCAAGACATGAGAAGTTCAGTTTGGTTTCGATCCACGTGTCACGTGATCATTTGTTCTGTTTCCCAAATTATTGCCACTAGGCCAAGGTTTATTTATTTATTTATTTTTGTCCTTTTGTCTTAATCTTCGTTCTTGCCTTGTAAGCAATAGTATTTTAACTACTTCCGCTGGCTCCATCTCCATCTCCATCTCCATCCATCTATATAAATCCTTCAACGATCAATCAATCAAAGAGTGTCCTTTTTTTTTATCTTTGTATATTCTTGGAAAGATTTCTTTTTTATTGTTCATGGCTAAGACTAGTCTTATCTTCTACAATCTACTGGTTTTTTACTCCTTCTTCAGCTATGTTTTCCTCACACATTCTGCTCCTCAATCTGCTCTCATCACTCAGCTTCCTAGCTTTTCTGGCTCTTTTCCTTCCAAACATTATTCTGGGTATTTTTATCTTTTTATGTTTTTATTTCTTTTTGGCTATTTCAACAGTTTTTTTTGTTATTGGTCAAAGGGTATCAAACATTTTTTTTAATTTCCCTGTTCATGGTTGTATTAATGATTTTAATTGTGGTGGGATTTTGAAGGTATGTGACTGTTGATGAAAGTCATGGCAAGAATCTTTTTTACTATTTTGTTGAATCTGAAGGGAATCCAACAAAAGATCCTGTGGTTCTGTGGCTCAATGGTGGACCAGGATGCTCCAGCTTTGATGGCTTTGTATATGAGCATGGTAATCAATTCAATTATTTTGCTTTATAATAGCTTATATGTTATGTGTTATTATATGTTTGAATTGTTGTGTGTATATTCTTTCTGTTTTATCACAAAAGGTCTTATTTGTTTGGATTGCCTTGTTGTGAATCATGTCATTCCATCTTTTAATTAATTCTAACCAAAAACACAAATCTAATGTTTGTTGCTCAAGCATATATGATCTTTTCTGTGCCCTTCAAATTATGTAATCTTTTATTGTTTTACTAGTGATACTTTATTTTTTGCTCCCTTATTCTTTATTGTTTCTCTTTGTAGTCATCCCTTCTTCTTTTTGTCCTCTTTGTATATTGCAGGGCCTTTCAATTTTGAAGCCGCGACGACGAAAGAAACTGTGCTCAAATTGCATCTTAATCCAAACAGCTGGTCCAAGGTGATTAGTTGATTTTGTTTGATTATAAAACATTTGACTGTTTCGCACCATTAATGTATGAATGAATATTACTCATAAATTTAGTCATATTTTCATTTTCCCATGTGTAAAATCATCTCATTCATGATTATTTTTCGATTTCAGGTTTCCAGCGTTATATATTTAGATTCCCCTGCTGGTGTTGGACTTTCTTACTCAAAAAATGAAACTGACTACACTACTGGTGACCTAAAGACTGCCTCTGATACACACTCATTCCTTCTCAAGGTATTGAAAGGGAGGGGTGACTAATTTGGCGTACTGACTATGTCATAAGTATATATATTTTTTTTATTCCTAAGAAATTTACGTTTCAACAATTTGTGCTTGTGCAATCAGTGGTTTGAGCTATATCCCGAGTTCCTTTCCAACCCATTTTTTATTGCGGGAGAGTCATATGCTGGAGTATATGTGCCGACTCTGGCTTCTGAAGTTGTAAAAGGTAGTTCTTCTTATTTCTGTATTGTTGTTTCGGGTTAATCCTAAGGTGCTAGTGCGGATTTCACACAGGAATTGATGCTGGTGTAAAGCCTGTTCTCAACTTCAAGGTATGCATCTTTAAAAAGTTCTTTTGAGTGAAGTTAAATTTCATGGCTGCAACCTCTATTCATTTTATACAGGGATATTTGGTCGGAAATGGAGTTACAGATCCTGAGTTTGATGGAAACGCTCTTGTTCCGTTTGCACATGGGATGGGCCTGATCTCAGATGAGCTATTTGAGGTGGGTGGACCGACTTATCATGGTATAGGGCATTTGCATGCTAGTTTCTTCTGAATCCTTAATGCTAAATAGATTGTCCCTATATTCTTGTTTGTGGAAGTAATGTTGCTACAGTTTAAAATCTCTATCTATTTACCAAAAAGTTTGATCCTTTTCCTGAAGTTGTTTCTTCCAGTGGAAAAGCTTTTTCACTTTTATACAGAAACATAAAAATGGCAGTAATGAGGTTTTAAAGGTGACCTCGGTCTGCTGGAAAGTAACAAAAGAATAGACTTTAAGTATTTGCTTGAAATAATTTCCATTTCCAACATTAAGAGAATTAACCGCATCAATGTAGTTATGCTAGCTGACCCTTGTGCCACTAGATGTACTTTATCCTTGGAAAAGTTCTAGTTGATTGATGGTTTCGGTTTTCTATTTCTGGAACTTTTAGTTTTCTTATTAGATACCATCAAATTGAAATAAGATATCGAGTCTGAGCATGAAATCTTGCTTTCCCAACACAAAATATCATAATGTGTATCCGTTGCTCTATGTGGCAGGAGGCGCAAAAGGAGTGCAACGGAAATTACTATAACCCAATGAATGAGACTTGTAACAGCAAGCTCGCTGAGGTTGACGAGGTGATTTAACTGCATTGTTAACTGGCTATAATGATTTAAGATAAGGCCAGGAAATATGATTCATGCGTTCCATTTATTCATAAGAATTTTATAAATTTCAGGATATAGATGGTTTAAACATATACGACATTTTAGAACCATGCTATCATGGCACTGAGGCATCAGAGAATATGGCTGTTAACCTAAGGTTACCTTCCAGCTTCCGGAAGTTGGGTGAGACTGATAGGTACCTTCCTGTGAGAAAAAGGATATTTGGTCGTGCCTGGCCTTTTAGGGCTCCTGTGAGAGATGGAATTGTTCCAACTTGGCCACAACTCCTCAATAGCATCTCTGTTCCATGCATGGTAAGTCACTTGGAAACAATCCTTAGACTTCTTTCTCTACTTCCTCTGCTGGTGATGATTTCAACATGAAGAAAATCTTATAAATTCCCTTTTGTGTTTGATTAACAATGCAACTGAAAGGATACGAAATTCTTGGTTTCTCATGGTCATTATATAATCATTTCAGAGACTGCTTTCTACACTTATGCTCAGTTGGTTTTCCAAGTCATAACACTAGCTACATCTTTCCTTCATTGTCAATATTGTGGTAGCTCGGTTTGTTTGTAGTCAGACTTTATCTTGGTTCACTTTTGAGAATCATGTAGAAGCTCATTTTCAAATTTAATATTAATTCTGTAGGATGACGAAATTGCAACTTCATGGCTCAACAATCCAGCAGTTAGGAAAGCAATTCATGCCGAAGAGGTTAGTGATCTCTTTTTCATTTGTCCGTGCAAAATTTTGAAACGGTTTTTTATGATCCTTGTCATACAACAGGGAAGCCTTGTTGGTGATTGGCAATTATGTACAAACAAAATTCAATTTTACCATGACGCCGGGAGCATGATCAAATACCACAAGAACCTCACTGCCAGGGGATATCGAGCCCTTATATTCAGGTATATCTCCAAACGTCTGCGTTGCATACTGCGTTGGTGCTTGCTTAAAGACCTATCTTCTGTTGCATTGTTTTGTAATGATAGCTATTTCTATATACTCTTGTGGCAGTGGGGATCATGATATGTGTGTTCCGTACACTGGCAGTGAAGCCTGGACAAGATCTGTCGGATATAAAGTTGTCGATAAATGGAGGCCTTGGACCTCCGGTGGACAAGTTGCTGGGTACTTCTACTAACATATTTGCAACATTTCGTTCGTGATGAAAGTAATTGTCTTTCTTTCTTTCTACTTCAGGAAACATTCATTTTGACTGGTCTTATAAATTACAGATATACTCAAGGATATGAGAAAAACCTCACCTTTTTAACCATAAAGGTATGCTTTTTAAATGCTAAGCTTCTATTACAGATCATGTCTAAACTGTAACTTTCACAATCAATCTTTGCCTTTGTTTTTCGATTGCGTTGTGCAGGGAGCAGGACATACCGTTCCAGAATACAAACCGCGAGAGGCATTGGACTTTTACAGCCGATTCTTGGCCGGAAAACCTATATGAAAGAGATGTATTGAGCTATGGTTTTGTGTGCATACATATTGCTTGATTGGGAAAGATATCAATGTTGTTTTCACTGATTCTTTTTGGTCATCAGTGTTTATGGCTGAAAGAATATGAAAGATATATCAATAAATCATATCCAAATAGAAAGATTGAATGAATTAAATTAGTTGCAGAATATATGTGTTTGCATATGCAATACTTGTTCATTGCTTCTGAAAAGTTGCCTTGAAGTCATAGGTATAAATATTTATGGGATGAATATCAAGAAGTGAAAAAAGAATTAAACAACTTCTCAAGTTTATAATGGTGTAGGAAAATAAATGTAAGTGATTTTGCTTGATTTTTCATAACTCTATCCATTTTTAATAAAGTTTGAAGAGGTTTTTGATCCATTTAAGTGAAGGAAAATCTTTGATGAATAACAATTTTATCATCCGTACGACCTCTAACAAGATTTGGCCCCTAGTTTATATAGATTCAGAATTCTCATAAGAGTTAAAAAGACAGAAAATTTCTCAATGAAATGATACAATATAATAACAAAAATCTCTTTTTGAGGTTTTTAAAATAATAAAAAAATTTATATTGTTAATCAACTCTTACTATACTCTTAAAATTTATACCGTTATGAGTTAGTAAATATTACCAAATTGTTCTCTTACCGTATATTTTATAAAAACATAAGAAATAAATCAAAATGCTTTTGAAAAAGAATAAATTAACTAACATATAAACAAAGAAATAAAATAAAATATTTTTTAATTTTAAAAAAGATATTAAATGTATATAAGAGTTACTTTAACTTTGTAAAAATATATTACTATTTTTTTTACTCTAGCATTAGAATGGTTTTCTCTAACTACTAGAATGAAGAGCGTAAAAATAAAAAATAATTGGGTAAATAGTTGTATCTACTAAGCCGAGGTTAGATTTAAATTGCACATTAAAAAAAAATGATTCTTTAAATAGTTATTCCATGGGTTATCATATAGGGGTTGTTTGGATTGCGGGTATATAAGATAACGGGAGTAATCTTCATTTATTTTGTAAGATTCCGATGTTTAGTTTGCAAATAATAAAATATTATAACAATCTTTTATTTCAAATAGTATTTATCGTTGGTAATATGGGGGGTAATTTTATTACTTTACTAGGGGTGTTATTAAAACATTATTGAGGTAATCTGATTTTCTACCCATTTTTCCCTTAATTAAAAACCATTTCGAACATAATTACTCTCAAATGTCTATCAAATAACAATTACCTAACCCCTTTACATTTGAGAAATTGGCTAAAACACCCTAGCTATAAAAAAGTTTAAAAGTTAACAAAATACCCCCAGCCACCTAAGATCACCGCCAGCCGTGATTGACCACAGTTGACCCCCGGTGTCAGTTGCCGTAATGGTGCCCAATCGGTGGGATCTAGCGGGTTATGCGCTGGTAAGACCTTTTTCAGTCATGGATCATAGATCCATGGCCGAAAAACGGCCACAGATCTAGCATTTTCACGGCCACATCTTTGGCTGTGAAATGGCCATAGATTTGGCCTTTTTTGGCCATGGATTTGTGATCCATGGCCATTTTCGACTTTGCTGGTGGTGGTGGTTGGCTGTTGGCAGTGGCTTGGGGTAGGTGGGGGTGATTTTGCTATAAATTAAAGTTTTATATGACTGAGGTGTTTTAACAAAATTTCATATGTAGGGGGTTAAAAAAAATGATTTAAAAAATAATAATAAAAAATACTATTATTTTAACATTTAAAAAGCAGGGCAATTTAGTAATCTATATAATATACTCACCTATTTATCATCCCAACTAAACATATTATTTACCAATTTATTCGAACCAACCAAACATATTTTCTAAACATTCGTAGTAATCTTCAAGGCGATCTTTCTTTCCATTAATATAATATTCTCTGTAATAAAACATTATATGATTCAAACACCTCCCACAACCTATAAAATGTCAGAGACTTGACAAATGATAACAGAAAAGACAATAATAATAAAAAGGTATTTATTTCAAAATATACGATTAATTAATTTTATTTAGGGTTGAAAGAAGCCATTTTTTATTAACCCCCAAAATGTAGTTAATTTTTTTAATATCCCTATATTTTATAACTAATTTTTCAACCCCTGAAGTTTAATCAAATAACAAAGTTTCCTATGAGATTTAAAAAATAACAAAAATCCTTCTACTATTTAGTTGACTGTTAAAATTTTATAAGATGATAAATTAATAGATACTTACTATATTATTCTTCTACCATTTATTTTAACAATAATACTAAAAACTTAACAACCGAGAATTTCTATTATTATACATCAGGGGGATCATTGTTATAAACCCCTTTATAAACTTAAAAATTTTAAATAAAAATTCACTTGTATGTATATTGCAAATCCAACTATTTCAAAAGAAAGCTAAAAGGCCAGTTAAAATGGGCCATCCGGTCCATGATCCAGTGGCCCATTTAAATACTCCATATCAGAAATACTCGCCTCTGTAACACTAACACAACAATGGTGCCCAACGCTCGGCTTCTCTCACAAAAACGCTTCTTCTCCACCAAGACCCTCCACAGAAACCACCTTCAATGGCCCATAAAACAAGTCACGAAGTCAAACTTCAACGACTCTCTTCCAGAAATCAAACATCACATTGCCAACTCCCATTTCATAGCCCTCTCCTTACAGAACACCGGCTCCTTTTCCACGCCGTGGCACCGCCTCTCTGCCTTCGACACGCCCCACACGGCTTACTCCAAAGCCAAGTTCGCCGCCGAACGCTTTCAAATACTTCAGTTCGCCGTCTGCCCCTTCAAGATTGAAGCTCGCAAAGTCGTTGCCTTTCCGTACAACTTTCATTTGTTCCCCAGAGATGAACTCAAGCTCGGAATGCCTTCTTATAGTTTCACATGTCAAACATCGTCTCTAAATTCCATGGCGAAAGAGGGTTTTGATTTTAATGCTTGTATATATGATGGTAAGGTTAAAGTTTTCATTTTGAGAGATACCCGGTTGATCATTTTTAATTCTAAAAAATGATCCTTTACGATGTTGCACTTTTTCTAAGTGCTTTATTGTTAGAAGCTTGTGAATAAAGCAAGTGGCTTTTAGAAAGAAAATTTTTGTTTTTAATACTTTCATATGTCATGGTGAGTTTAAAATTTTCATCGAGAGATGCCCTTGAGCATTTTTGTGTAGAAGTGATTTTTGTTGATGTTGTTTGGTTAAGTGCTTTCTACTAGAAGCTTGTGAATAAAGCTAGCGGGTCTTAGAAAATAAAACTTTTGCTTTTAATCCTTGCATATGTGATGGCGAGTTTAAAATTTTCATTTGAGAGATGCCCAGTTGAGCATTTTTGTTTAGAAGGGATTTTTGTTGATGTTGTTTGGTTCAGTGCTTATTTTAGAAGCTTGTGAACATAGCTCGCATAAATATGATGGTAAGTTTAAAATTTTCATTTTTTAGAGATAGCCAGCTGAGCATTTTTGTTAAGAAGTGATTTTTTTTTTTTTTTTTTTTTAATGTTGCTTTGTGAAGCTTTTTATTGTTTGAAGCTTGTGAATATAGCTAGTAGGTTTTTTGAGAGAAACTTTTTTTTCGCTTTTTAATACTTGATATATGATGTTAAGTTAGTTCTTCTTATCATTTAAGCTTTATTGATCATTAAGACTGTGACACGGTTAACATTTTTTTTTTTCCCCAAGAAGTGATTCTTGTGAATGTTGCCATTGTAAGTGAAATTTTTGTTATGTGCACGTTTCTGTTAGGTTTTAGAGAAACATTTTTTTTTTTGGCTGAAAGTCTGTCTCTGGTCTTTAGCCAATTCCAGTTCAATCGGGACAAGAAAGTTTGAAATTAAATGCAGTATCTTTAATCATTAACATAGAGAAGATCAGGTTTTGGAGTGTATTCGTAGAATTATATCTCCGTGTAGCATTCTTTTATCAATTTCATTCCTCCCCTATAAATATCTTCTGCTACTAGATAGTTCATTTATGATGAATTGCTTATAGACATCTTAATGTATAATCGGCGATGAGACGTAGCATTTGCATCATCTTATTGCGCGTGATTGATGATTGGTGATTTACTGTTTCAGTGTTTATGCTGGTTTTGGGTACTATGGTGCTTTATTTCTTTTTTATGTTTTTCCTTTTATTTGTAAATAGGGATATCATACTTATCAAGAGCACAAGAGTCTTCAGCGAAAGTTCGGATGGGGAATCCTATAATTGTTGATCATGAGAAATCTTCTTTTGCTCCTATACCTGTCCCAACTGTTGCTGATACCGTTTTTGTTGAAAGGATTAGATCACGTGTTAAACATTGGAAAAATGCATGTACAGACTCGAGTGCAAAGACAGATGGTAAAACATAATTTGTTGACAAGTTTAAGTCATTTTATGAATTTCCTTGAATTCTATTTTAGTGTTGACTTTTCAGCTGCAGAGGCTTTAGTGATCTCCCTGAGAAAACTTGTCTTAGGGAGTGAACAGCACGGATCTAGACCATGCATGACTATTGATGTTTGTAGTGAACGCCAAGTCCAGCTAGTACTAAAGGTAGATTGGTCTAACGAACTTTTTGATCCTTCAATTTTTGATGATGCAAACAGTATTTGTTTCCATCATGCTTGGATAACTAAATGAAGAGTTCTATGCAACTTTCCTCTGTGCAACGATATCTTGAAACTTTTCTGGGTTGGCTATAGATGTTGGAAGAGTTCTCAGACCTTGTTCCTCTATTAATCCCTGCAAAGAGTGGAGGAACCCAGGCAGTTCGTGTTGTTTTGACAAGTTCTGAAGAGGACAGGGATCTTTTAAAGGTAACAAAATAAATCTTGGTGATAATGACCGGTCAAGTGTTGTCCATAATGTTTAATTGGTTTTGATTGACAGAGGGAGCTTCAAGATCTTGAAGTAGAACAAGATAAGAGGGTCCGTGGATTCCGAGAGGTGATCGATTTGATTTGTGCTTCGCAGAAACCTGTTGTCTCCCACAATTCCCTTAATGGTTATCTCTTTATAAAAGAAATATTTATCAATTTAGATTATAATACCATTGATTTTCTTTCTGTTTAGATTGGAGATTTATTCACTTTCTCACTCCTTGCAGATTTTGCATTTATTCATTCAAAATTTCTAGCTCCTTTACCACCTAATGTGGTTGAATTTATGTCTTCCTTACGCATGGCTTTCCCTCAAGTACTTGATGTCAACCATCTGATGACAGATATTGGTCCTGCAAGAACCAGTATGTCTGCAAATATGTCTTATCTAAAGAATAGGTTCTTTGCTCCCATAGATATGGAAATTCCACACAAAGGTCAGTTGGTCTCGACTTCTTGAAGCAGCATACTCACACTTGCACATAAAACCATGCTTGTGTCTTGTGGATTTCACTTGTGAGAAATGTATCAAGGAAACTTGGGACTTTATTGTGCAGCTTTTAAAAAATTATGTAGTTGATAAACGTGAACTTTATTGAATTACTAGTTGCACCACTTGAGTCTCAGGAGTAATGTTGTGAGAATTGCCAGTGAACACATAAAAAGGTTATTTGCTACTTTATGACCTGATTTCTCTGCATTGTATTTAAATTCACCAGCTACTGAAAATGAAAGCAACATTCATGGGCATAATGTGGTGAAAATTTGTCATTTGTTTGGGAAGCTATGTTCCGTACTGAATCTCACTCCTACTTCTAGTCGATCCAGCAACCATCATCTGGCTTCAGCTTTTGATGGATATGCAAACATCTTCAATCTTAGCTCTGACAGTTGTCAAGAACCAACTGATGAAGACATCAGAGTTTGGACCAACAACACACGGAAAGTAAGGTGTGAGGATGTGGCTTTCTTGTGGGGATTTCGCAAGAGGATGTCTGCTGGAACGCTGAAAACCCTTCTCCGAGGGTCCAATGAAGTTTTTGCCAAAGAATTTGATGTCAGATTGGTGGATAGGAGTTGTGCCATGGTGGTATTTTGGCAACCCAGTTTGCGTGAAACTTTTGTGGATATAATGAACAGCGAAAAAATTTCCGGAGCTTTAAAGGAAATGGTTTCTGAAGGACTAAAAGCAACAGGTTATGAGACCTATAAACGGGTTTGCAGCTCAGGTTTATGGGAGTTAGAATTAGCTGACGCCTTGGACAAAGCTTTAGCTCTTCCTGACTCCAATTTGGAAGATGATTATGAAACAAATACATCAGAAATTTATTGGTCCAACGATTTAAAAATTAACTTGGATGATCTCTGACTCTTAGGTTACAGAACATTTTTCCTTTGTATACTTCAGATTGTTATTTGTAGTAATGAAGCTTTATATTGGACTGTTTTTGTATCCCATTTTATAATTTGTTTTTCATATAGAATTATGAAATGTACAATTATAGGTTTGAGGAATGAAGAATTTTGTATTACATATATATGTTGTGTCTAATTATTGTTTTATGATAGTTTCAGTTAGATGTTGCTAAAATATTATTGTGAAGTATCAAGAATCATGCATTTAATTTCAAGTTATGGCAAGTTAATATGTTCTGAGATAGATAATACTTAAAAGAGAGTATGATGGGTTTTAGTTATCAAAGAGATAATTTTTAGTGGAAGAGTGATAAATTCACAATGTATATAAATAAGCATAAAAGGCTGGTTTTCTCATACCATGAAATTGTTTGTCAACGCTACACATATCAAAATGTTTTTGCAAATGATTATTCAACTACTTTTTAAGTAGTTTTGCTAAACAAAACTTAGACAAAGTTAGCAAAAAGGGGTGTCATTGATGAGTTTTTAAAATCTTGGGTTATAGTGAACAAATTCTCAGAAGCTGGCACTCGCCTAGTTAACGTAATAATAGGGGTAGTTCTTGATTTTTTTTTCCCTTATTAAACACACAGAAAATTAAAAATAAAAAATCAGAAAATTGTCCTAACCAGAAATGGATTCAATCTTACTGCGTTACTCTCCAAATTCTACTCTTGTACACCAGAACGGCGCCGTTTCATTCTCTACCAGACGAACTACTGCTAGTACGACTACTACTTTGCCATTCAAATCAACCTTGTTCGGCAACAAAACGCTTTCACGGGAGAAAACCCGATTTCGACCCGGACCCGTTCACTTTTCTGCCGCGAATTCAACCTCTGCTTCATGTCACACATTCGACGTTGTGATAATCGGTGCTGGCATTATCGGGTTGACCATCGCCCGTCAGTTTCTTTTCGGGTCGGATCTATCCGTTGCTGTTGTTGACAAAGCCCTCCCGTGTTCTGGTGCCACCGGTGCCGGTAAAAACTAAAAAAAAAAAAAATACGCAGCTTTCTTTTTAAAGTAGTATCAAAATTGGGAATTTATTTTGTGAAATGATACTGAATGTAGAGCATTAATATCATATCAGTATATTACTTATATGCTAGTTTCAAGAGCATTGTTTAGGATGAAAGTTTTGGGATAATATTTGAGAGGGTAATTTTAAGTTTTTGTTTTTTCTTTTGTGGAACAAGAATTTTGGGAAATTATTGGGGATATGTAACATTATTCAGTGTGGAGGATTTATTGAGTTTGTATTTACTTTTAGGGCAGGGCTACATATGGATGATACACAAGACACCTGGGAGTGAAAAATGGGACTTAACAATGAGAAGCCATAAATTGTGGAAGAAGTTTGCGGAGAGTGTAAGTGATCAATGCTTGGACCCTCTTCAAGTACTGGGATGGAAAAAGACGGGTATGTAAATTTCATTTTGAGTTTTGGTTTATGATTCATTATTATAGTTTACTAGTTTTCTTCCTGAACAGAAATGTGTAATTAATGTGTTAGTAATCTGTTAATGGGCTTGTGGGTTTCTTAATTCAGTAGTCAACCCAATTATATAGTTGAAAATGTGTTGTTATTATGGATACGGTGATAGTAACAGTATTGTGATCTGGTTTACAGGAAGTTTGTTAATTGGTAGGAATCCTGAAGAGTTGGTTTTGTTACAAGAGATGGTTAAGCAGCTGTGTGAAGCTGGTTTGAGAGCAGAATACTTGCCTGGTAGTGATTTGCTTCAAAAGGAACCTGAACTAATGATTGGAGAACATAGTGGAGCTGCCTTTCTACCAGATGACTGCCAGTTGGATGCTAGGCATACCGCTGCGTATATTGAAAAGGTCTCTTATAATTTAGAATATTTTGGTTGATCTTTGTATCGTATTTTAGTTGCCTCTGATCCATGTTTAGTATATCAATGTCGTTATGACTGATATGTAGGTTAACAGAGATTTTGCATCAAAAGGAAGATATGCAGAGTTCTTCCATGACCCTGTTAAATGTTTGTTAAGGTATGTTGTTATTCTCTTTGTGCTGCAACAAAATTTTTTTGCTGACACTGAAGGTCTATAGTACATTTTCCTACTCAGAGGTGATATACTGTGTTGAGCAACTCTAATAGTTCTTATACTATACTCAGATCTCATAGCACTGGTGAGGTTGAAGCAGTTCAGACTTCCAAGAACACCTTATACTGCAAGAAAGCTGTCGTAGTTGCAGCTGGTTGTTGGAGCGGATCTTTGATGCATGACCTATTTAGGGAAACAGATATTGTATTGGATGTTCCTGTAAAGCCTCGAAAGGTTTGAATCCAGGATGTTAATTAACTGTCCATATATTATTTTGCCATTGGCTTGTTGTATTGAAGTTTTCCAAAACTCCTTTCATATTGGATCTGTGTATCATTAATGGATCTCTTGCTTCTCTTCTAGGCATGGTTCCAAACTTCTTAAATTATTGGTTAAAAGCGATAAGATGAATTTTATTAATTGTATAATTCTTGAGATGCTGACTTTACAAGTCACTTCATTTGCCAAATTTTCAAGCCATCATTCCCACCAGTTATCATGATGAATTATTTCAGTCTTGGGATCTTGAAATGGAAATCAGTTATAATTTTTAAGCATGATGATTTCTATTATTGGATCTTCTTACAGGGTCACTTGCTTGTGCTTGAGAATTTTAATCCTCTTAAATTGAATCATGGTACGATGGAGGTGGGTTATACTTATCATCATAATCTGACTATGGATCCAGGACAGCAAGAGAATGGGCAGATGTTGTCTATTTCGATGGGAGCCACTACAGACATGACAGGAAACCTTGTTCTCGGTAACCTGAATACTCTAGAGCTGCTGCTTTGACCTTTTTCTAAATAATGGTCAAAAATAACTTTAGCATTAGCATATTTTGTTTTAGCAATTATGATATTTTCTACTTTTTCTTAAAGGCATTGATTTTGCATATCCATTTTAGCTTGAATGCTTATTATTTTGCTTTTGTTCTTTAGCATTACCGAAGGAACTTCCCGGCTCTGTCCATTGGTTATAGCATCTAATATATCTGGAACATCTTCTAAGCCCAATTATTGCAATGTCTCTTTCTTGTACATGTCCTCATGCTCAAAAAGGATATTGTTTTGCTTGTTTTATGTATAAGCTTGTTTTTTTTTTTTTTTTTTTAAGTTTATAAATAAGATAAGATGGTTTTTGATGTATGTTACTGTTAAGGCTTATATTTTGTCTTTTTTCTAGTACAGTGATTTGCAGTTGGTCATTTTGAAAGTTGGCACACATGCTTGCCCTTAAGTTTATCATCTGACTTTACAGGGAGCAGCCGCCAGTTTGCAGGGTTCGACACAGAAGTGGATGAGTCAATAATTGATGGTATATGGATGCGGGCTGCGGAGTTCTTTCCCAAATTAAGAGACTTTTCTCTCACAAATTTAAGGAGCAGAAAAGTGAGGATAGGATTGCGCCCTTACAGTAAGTCTATACCTTCTTTGACTTGTGAATTTTTTTTTTTTTTTTTTTGGTAGATTCTTAGATTTTAACTACCCAAAGTTTATGGTAGTGAAGTTGTCATCTATAAAATTAATAAACTGTGATATAACAATTTCCTGGTCTCAGTGCCTGATGGAAAACCAGTTATTGGGCCTGTCCCCAGTTTATCAAATGTGTTTCTTGCAACTGGTCATGAAGGAGAAGGACTTTCTCTGGTAAGATTTGTTTTCTTTCTCTGAAGAATATATTGATTTACTGCTGAGTATTTAAGCTAGTGTGGTTATTATCCATTTTTTTACAGTTTGAAACCAAGATGTACAGTTAGGTGCTATCACTTAATTTCTTACGTTTTTACGTTTTTACTATTTTACTATTTTACTATTTTTCTTTTTAATTTTCTTTTTTAGTTAGCAGTTTTTACCACAATGTCTGGTTGACTATGATAAACTAAAGGTAATGGAGAAATCATTCACCATTTTGGTCCACTTTTCAGGCTTTGGGAACTGCAGAAATGGTTGCTGATATGGTATTGCAAAATCCTCTAAAGGTTGATGGAGCACCATTTGCCGTTCAGGGTCGATGTTGTTGATATCTGATAAAATGTTAGCCAATGAAGAACAATGGAGAACAATTTATCAGCATTTTCTTAGGCTGCTGGTAGTAGGATTTGTTCTCAGAGCAATCTCAAGGTCCCTTACATCCTAATGTGGGTAATTTATGTCTTGGGCTCGGCATTCTCTCAAGTGTGTTTGATGTCACCATCTACTATATCTGCAAATATTTCCCTTGTGTGGATTTCGTGAGAAAATGTCTGCTGGAATGCTGCTTCAAGGGCTCCAAGAAGTTTTCACTGAAGAATTCGATGTCCGATTGGTAGATAGGAGTTGTGCAATGGTGGTATTTTGGACACAGTTTGTGTGAAACTTGTGTGGACTGTGGATATAATGAACAGCAAATAATATTTCTGGAGCTTTGAAGGAAATAATTTCTGGAGTAAAAAGCAACAGGTTATGAGTAGGGCCGTCTCAAGGAAAGCAGTGGCCTAAGGCAAAAATTCTGTCTTAAGTCTTCGCAGGCTTAATAAAAATAAATTCATTCAACTTTTATATGCAAATTTATAAAATATGCTAGCATTTATTACTAAGATAATAATATCCATTAAAATTTGATTAACTTGTAGGCTAATGAATGTCTATTAGTTTGTTATATTTCTAATATTTTTAGATTTTGATACTAACATGTAATAATGTATATGGATGAAAATTGTTAGGTATGGATGGTCTGAAATTTTTAACATTCGCACTAGAAAATGATTATATTAATTTTGTGTATAGTATTGAAAAGATACTATTAAGAAAAAACTAAAAAGAAGATAATGTATTGTTTTTTTCTTCTCTTATTCTTCATAAAAGAGATTAAAAAATTAAAATTGTACCATGGAAAGGGTTTAAACAAAATTTAATTTACATTTAATTAGAAAATAATCTTTAAATGATCAGATTTGTTATAAAAGGAAGAATATGAATAAAGAAATTTGATCATCGTTCCTTTGAGGATTAATCGAGATGCGCATAAATTGGTTCGAACACTTTGGTTAAAAAAAAAAAAATTTGATCATCACTGATATATAATGAGCAAACAAATGATGTTATATAGGCCTTATTTCAAAGTAATCAAATGTAACTTTTTTAATTTAAAAAAAAGTCCTAAATATATATATTTTTAAGAGTAAACGACTTTTTCCCACCCAAGGTTTGGCCTAATGACACTTTCCCACCTAAAAAATTTCAAACTACAACTTTACCACCCATACTAAAATCCATTCATTAAGTTTAACTGAAGGACATAATAGTAAATTCGAAAAGAAGTCAAAGGTAATTACATTATTTTATCCCTTATATGTTAACTTAAGGGTCTGCTTGGGAGGTTTATGGTAGCGGTTATAAGGGTAAACCATCATAGCGGTTTTGAGGGTAAACCACCGTAGCAATTTTGAGAGGTTTTTAGTAGCGGTTTTTAAAACACCAAACTTGTGCTTGGAAGTTTATTTTCCAACGGTTCTGATAGTTTTTTAAGATGATAAATTTACATATATGCCTATAAAAATACCCCAACTTCAACCAATACTTGAGAGTTTTTTTTTTTCAATTATTAGTACTTAGTATCAAAGTTCCTTCCAAGTTTACTTACTCTCTAGCCTTCATGTAATTAATTCAAATGCATTTATCTTTTGCCTTATTTATCGATGACTAGAATGATTCTCGATTATGGAAGTTTAACTTCAATTTCATATGTCTTTGTGCAAATATTTTGTGGTACCATTATCGATTGCTCTGTTTAGGGAAAGTTCTGTCGACAAGTAAGAAGCGCGTCCGCGGTCGCATTGGTTCCTTCCATTCTACTTTCTGTGCTGTCTACAACAACCTCCTTTACAAAAGGGTCGTTGCAGTTTGTGTGTTAATTATACTATATGTTCTGTGTATTTATCTATGTCCAGGGTTCATTGAACGATATTTCATTTATTTGTAAGTTCTTTCATTGTATGTTATTTAATTTATTTGTAAGTTCTGACTAAAATATGTAATTTAGTTGATGACATTCGTTATGCTGGCACTATTAGCATACTTGGTAATTAGACTTCCACTCAACGACTAGATTTGCTGACAATATATGCAAAAGAAGCCGAGTTCACATAAAGTAATTGTTATAAAAACTATGCTCCTCCTAGAACTAAGATCAAATCATATGACTTCTTCCTTTGTGTAATTAAACTTGCCAATCTGTGATGTACGAGAGTGTAGGGGAAACAATACACAACCAAGATCATTCATTTAGCTCTAAGGAATGAGAGGATTTAAACTTAGAAAGGTAAAACCATTTCAACACAACCATGGAGGCAATAGTACCATTAACTATAATCTTTGCAATAAATCTGCAAGTGAACTGTTGAAATCACAAAAACTCTACAGATAAGCCTCCTGTAATTGATCATTTAATTTTTCATCTAAAATTCAATTAATTGGACTTCAGTCTAAATGAGGCAGGTAATGAAGCTAATGACCAAGTGATAAAGAAATAAAGAATCTATCTGTGGCATGAACTGTTGAAAGCACAAAAACTCTTGGACTCCATTACTCCACACAGATCTAGACAACGACCATTTATCAACTTAAGACATATCAAAACACACCACCTAGTAGTAAAGTATGCTAGTTGAATTATAGGCTACATTGGTGGAATAGAAGACAGCTCAATGTTGTTTCACAACATCAAATCCTTATTTACTCATAAGTCCATTACCAAATGAGCATTTTGCACTAGATAAAAACAAAATTAATTAGGATGTGCATTAACTAAATCAAAAAACCACTTCTTAAGTTTCTTCAAGCCAAATAGTTAAAACAACTAGCAGCTATTGTGGGATTTACCTTGGTAAAGGAATTAAGTTGCTGCATTTTCAAGCATTTTCATTAAAATACTCTTGCGGCGATGTGTTGGAAATGAGTAAAATACATGCAGCTTCGTGGGATTTTCAAGAAGGAAAGTCTGAGCACGTAGCAACTCATCATCATCATCATCTTCTATCCCAATCTCAACTAAATGCTCCAACAATTTATTGTCCTTCGAAGAAGACTTATTAGCACACAACAGTAACAGATCACCTAGGTTATGTGTTTCCCTATCCACTGCACTAATAGCCTCCTTTATAGGATTGTTGTCCTCTTTAACTCTCCATCTATTCTTCAACTTGCGTGATGTAACTTCGAATTGGCAACCTGGAGAAGTCAAGTCATTCCCACTTCTTTCAATATTGACGACATTCAATGAAGCTTGATTTTGTGCTACCATGTTGTCGATGTCCTCAACTAAAGTAGGACATTCTACATTGTTTTGAGATAAATGAGCTCTTTTTCTCTTCATCTCCCTAATGGTGTCACCATCTTCCCCATTCGCCCTATCTTTTGCAAAGAGCTCATATAACTTGTCGTAGTTATATACATGTTTGCTCCTCCATTCAACAGCACTAGGATTTGACTATATAAAAATACACACATGGTAAGTAACAATATAATTTCTCCAACAAGCATATTTAAAGTGTATGTAAACAATTAAACATGAGCCCACCTCGATAAGTTTGTCCCACACTTCTGGTTCAATATGCCATGTCGAAGTAGTTTGATCATATGCAAAACCACTCAATCCATCCTTAAAAATATCATGACAAGATGCCCATGATTTCTTGATAAATTTCATGTGATTTTGGATCTTTTCTTTCTCCCATACGATATTTGGAAACTCTTTCTTCATTGTTTGCAATATTTGGTCATGGGCTTGTGATGTGAAGGTCCCTCCCACCTGTTTCCTTGCACATGCTCATGCAAATAGGCATCAATGAGAATATCATCCATTGATTGGGTCCAGCACATATTTGATTCTTTCTTCACCTAGTGAGGCATCACTTTCCTATAAGGAATAGTTATCCAAAAAAGAAAAAGTTTACAAACAAACATAATTTATATTAGGATTACGAATACAATACAAATGATCCAACTTATTATAAAGTAATAATATCAAGTCACTACACCACATCACACCACTTAATGTTAACAAAAAAAAAAGTACATTGAAAAAGTACAACACAAATGTAATTGGCATTCAATGCTGGTTCAAATGATATGCTTCCCACATTGCATTTGCTATCGAGTTTCGAATTAACTCTCCTTTTCTTGCATCTTCGTGATTATTTAAATTATGCTTATGGTTTGTATGCTCTATAGGTTCCCTAGCAATTTCCGCATCAACCTCGGCAATGAGACCTTCTTCCGGATCCATTCGCATTAGAAAATTATGAACTATGCAACAAGCAGACACAATTAGTTTTAGTGTTTGAATGTTGTACATCGGTTTAGTCCCACTTCCAATGATGGGGAAGCGTTTCTTGAGTACACCTAATGCCCTCTCTATTGCATTGCACAAGGAAGAGTGTCAATGATTGAGTAGCTCATGAGCATTTCTAGGAGGGTTTTGTTGTGAGTACTCTTTAATGTGATAATGCTCTCCTTTATAAGGTGTGATGAGACCACTTCGAAGCCTGAAACCCGGATCAACAAGATAAAATTTTCCTACATTACCACGTTTATTGTCAACATAATAATTTCAAATGCAAAACAAACCAAATTTCAAACTAATACCTATTGGAATATGGAGTGGATAATATCGTGTTAGGGCATTTTTCATTATCCTAGAGTCAAAAGTAGTTCCTTCCCACCCAGTCAACACATACGTGAATTTCAAGTCAAATGTGCAAGCAGCCGAAATATTCATAGTTGGATATTCCTTTCTACCATGTACAATTGGTACTTTAACACAAATATGCATGCCATCTATTACCCCAACACAATCCTAACATTATTTATCTAATTAGGCAAAGGTAACAGTATAAGTATTTAAAGTGTTATGTTTGCGTTGTATACCTTAAAGTATGGATAGAATCTATTGTGGTTTTGTATGTCAATACTTGGAGTCCATTTAGTTGTAAGAGGTATTTATCCTCTAACTCTATGATTGCTTCCAGCACTTGATGAAAGTGGCGACTAACCGTCTCACCGGAGCGATGGAAAAGTAATGAACATGCACTATGCCTAGTGTCTTGACCTATAACCCAAAGGAATTTAGCAACTTGTTCTTCAACTGTAGCTCGTTGAGTTGAACGAAGCCCCCCTTCCATTGCTAAAATTTCACAAAACTCTACAAATATTGTGGAATCCATTCGAATCAAATGTCTACCACTTGGTCCAGCAATACATTGCATTATTTCATCCTGAATTCGCTCACTTTGCAAGCATATTGCAGGATTAATTCTATTCAAACGTGAAGTAGTTCATGCTGTGGGTTGTTGTGCTAAAACACATCCAACTAGCAGTGGAAACATCATATGAATATGATGTATACAAATGATAGTGTACATGATCAAATC